GAACACATAGAACACCATAGCAACACCCTAAGAATGCATGGAACACAGTAGCAACAATCTATCATCATGGGTGTGAGTTTTGCATGGACAAACACACCCTGGTAACTACCCAGAACACCCTAGCAACTGCATAGCAACGCAGTATGAACACATAGAACACCATAGCAACACCCTAAGAATGCATGGAACACAGTAGCAACAATCTATCATCATGGGTGTGAGTTTTGCATGGACAAACACACCCTGGTAACTACCCAGAACACCCTAGCAACTGCATAGCAACGTGTTATGAACACATAGAACACCATAGCAACCACATAGCAACACCCTAAGAATGCATGGAACACCGTAGCAACAATCTATCATCATGGGTGTGAGTTTTGAATGGACAAACACACCCTGGTAATTAACCAGAACACACTAGCAACTGTATAGCAACATCCTGAATGCATAGAAAACTATATCATCCACATAGCAATACCCTAAGAATTCATGGCAACGCAGTATGAACACATAGATCACCATAGCAACCACATAGCAACACCCATGAACTCACAGAACACCATAGCAACCACATAGTAACACCAGAGCAGGGTGATGACACACCCTGATAACTACCCAGAACACCCTAGCAACTGCATAGCAACACCGTAAGAACACATAGAACACCATAGCAACCACACAGCAACACCCCAGCATCATAGTGTTGAGTTTTGAATGGACAAACACACCCTGATAATAACTACCCAGAACACCCTTGCAACTGTACAGCAACACTCTGAATGCATAGAAAACTGTATCATCCACATAGCAACATCCTAAGAATGCATGGAACACCATTGCAACCACATAGCAACACTCTAGCATGGTGGCAAGTTTTGCGTGGACAAACACTCCCTAGTAACTACCCAGAACACTCTAAGAATGCATGGAACACCATAGCACCGATAATTACTCAGAACACCCTAACAACGGCATAGCAACGCAGTATGAACACAGATATCACCATAGCAACCACATAGCAACACCCATGAACACATAGAGCACCATAGCAACCACATAGTAACACCCTAGTAGGGTGACGAGTTTTGCATGGACAAGCACACCCTGGTAACTACCCAGAACACCCTAGCAACTGCAGCAACACCTTAAGAACACATATAACACCATAGCAACCACATAGCAAGACCCTAGCATCATAGTGTTGAGTTTTGTATGGACAAACACTCCCTGGTAACTACCCAGAACACCCTAGCAACTGTATAGCAACACTCTGAATGCACAGACAACTATATCATCCACATAGCAACACCCTAAGAATGCATGGAACACCATTGCAACCACAACCATTGCTCTAACATGGTGGCACGTTTTGTGTGGACAAACACTACCTAGTAACTACCAGAACACCCTAGCAACAGCTTAGCAACACCACAGCAACCACATAGCAATGCCCTGTAAACAAATAGAACATCATATAGCAACTAAGAATGTATAGAACACCACAGCAACACCCTAGCATCATGTTGGCGAGTTTTGCATGGGCAAACACCACATACATTTTTGTAAAAATCTAGTAAGTTATACTCTCAGCATTTCCTATATTCACTTTATACATGATTTATGTTCACTTGTAGCAAAGAGGAATGAAATCGTATATGTGAAAACATCTCTCTTGACACGCTCTTATTCTCTCCTCAGAGAAGCGTTGGGCTCCGGTCCAGGAGAACGAGTCTCTGTCTAGACACACAGGTGCAGATCTCTGCTGTCTGAATGCTTGATTCTCCTGGCCCTGTGTGTCACAGCGAGCGCAGCTTCAGCAGGACACACCCTGTCCCACACTTACTTCCCCAGTGGCTTTCAGTGTGCAGAAACCAAAGCTAAAGCCGTACACTCTGGGCCACAGCCAGACACTGGATTTCAGAAACAGACACGCAGACCGTCGCAGTGTTTGCCTGCTAGATCACGGCTGAACAAATCTCAACATACATACACTACTAAGGGCTTAATTCACAAGCTCAAATGTTTGTAAAGTTTAATTTGTACAATTATGGGTTTGTTCAAATCCCTAAACCTGAGCATGAGCAAGAGTAAAGGTGATGATTTATCTTATGAAATGAAAATATTTATATTTATACATAGAATAATCGGACTAAAACATATCACATTATTATTTATCTACTTATATTAATTTTGTTTCTGTAGTTAAAGATTTGAAAGAAAATATTTTTGAGCTGATATCCCATTTTTTTTATCACGGTTTATACATCACACAATACTAGTGTTATTTTAGCACTTTTGCAGTGGGTATAGAAAATAATCACCCTCTTTGAAATAATCAAATTATTATTATTATTTTTTTTTTTTGTAGACATAACTAACTTTTTATAAATTGTCCAGACAACAAGAAAATTTTATTTTATTAGCACTTAACTAAGCTGAAAGTCGAATGAACTAGTATAACTGTTGTTTCAACACAAAAACGCATGTTAAAATATCTGCAAAAAAAAATTTTGATTAAAAAAAATGAAGACAGTGGGGGAACAAAGTGTTTTAAGTTGACTCAACAAATAGTTTTTTACAGTGTGTATAAACTATTATCAGTATTCATTAATAATTCAAATTAGCCTTTAATTTTTTGTATTTTTTATTTATATATTCTAGTTAAAGGTTTAGCAATTTGTTATTTTTTTTTTAAATTTTTTATTCTGTTTTATTTACTGGTTTTACATTTAGTAATTCTAGTACTTCAACAAACATATTTTCAGTTAAATTTCAATTGTATACTTCAATATTTATAGATGTTTATAATTTGATATTATTATATAATTTTTTTCAATATTTTATACTCTTATATTATTTTGATATTTTATAACATTTTATATTTCATCTAATATTTATATTTTATTCCAGCTTTATTTAATTAAAAAAACAACAACAAAAACAATTGTTTTAATTTTAATCAACATTATTTTAATTTTGTATATTTTTATATTATTTTCATATTTTATAATATTTATATTTCATCTAATATTTATATTTTATTTCAGCTTTATTTCAATAACAAAAAAATGTACAATTTTCAGAAAGTACTAACAACACTGCACTGGAGATGTACGATGAAGTTGAGTGCATTGCATTATTATGGGATGCATTATGCCACAAACAGCATGCTTTGGTTATAATGCACATTTTTACATATATAGTAAGTCATCTAGATATTCTATTCCCACAATACTGTTGCAAAAATAGTAGTTTTGTAGTAAGCCATTCTGAGTATCTGCATGTGCATCTGGTGACATGAGAGGAGAACGTTCCTTCTCTCTCTCGATGAGCCACTTTTGTTTTCTTCACTTTGGTTTGTGTGTTTGAACAAGTGCCCTCCTCTGGTCAGACAAAAGTGCCTTGTTAAGCAAAACCTCTGCTAACTTTTATGGGTGATGCGGTCTCTGTGCTATTTGCAAACGCTCAAACAAATTAGAATAACAGCTGTGTGATGCGGGTGCATTTCGCTCAGATTCTTCATGGCCACACAGTGTTTCAAAATGATATCCTTCAATGCAACTCTATTTCTGCGACCTGGAAGCGAGGTTATATTGAGATAACTGGTGGCCTGCTGCGTCAGCACTAGTGATATGACGGCTTAAGATCAACAGGGGTGATTCTTTTCTATACCCACTGTAAATATAATTGCATTGGAAAGCAAAGAAGGAGTGGCATCATCTGCATGCATATGCAATTGATTTTACATTTTTTATCTAATGCAAAAACATTTGGAGCCATTGTATATTTATCATCTAAGTATCTAGGTTGCACGTAAACAATGCAAAACCTCTTGAAATCTCATAAAGTGTAGGTTTTGTTTGAATTCAGCAGGAGTTCACTTCCCCTTTCTGGCCCCTGCACACAAGTAGGCGGTTTAAACAAAGTGTTAGGTGCTAATGAATAGACCCTGACAAAGTTTGTTTTCCTGTGGAGAGTCAATGCATATAATGGCTTCATTCAGGTCCTGTGGTTCAGCCATGGAAAGAGCTAGTAAAGAAATCCCATGCCTTGTGTGTGACCTTTCTGAACCTCTCACAAACCTGTTTGCCTTTCGGGCCCCGTGGAGGGAGAATGCATATTCATGAGAAGCTCGCTGCAGTGACCGTACGGCTGGGAAACCGTTCACATTACTGTAATGAAAAAGAGAAATGCAAATGACAAGTACATATGAGGAAATCTTGCGTGCAAGAAAAACAGCAGTCACATACATTATGAAGTAATCATTTACTGTTCCCTTTCAGTCGGTCACTCTCGACGTCACGTCGGAGGACCGACGAAATTGGGATCTCGCTTAGAGGGACCAATCTACTTCGAGTGTAACTAAACGAGCCAATGCACATTGGCATGCGATTATTGCATCCAGCTGCTGCTGATCACAGCGTGAGTATAAGTAGGCAGCAGGTGCAGCACATATTCAGCTTTTCACCGCGCCGAGGAGCAGCCCGCAGGGGAGCCGCCCCGCGGGCCGCCGCCCCCGCCAGACCTGGTGGTAAGCGAAGGTGCAAGAGCGAAGACCCAGAGATGGAGGGAGTTGCTCTTCGGGAGATGGTGAACGCACCACTCCCTCCCCCGGAGGAGGGCCGGGGGGAGAATCTTTTGTTTAGATTTTTTCTGCCACCGGCCAGTGGTACCCAAATTCTCGACAAAAGAGCAATTTCTCCCTTCTCTGGGTCCCCTGAGGGGACGGGGGGCTGTGGACGGTCCAGAGCCGTATCACACTCACCCTCCTCTCTCGCCAGCGAGCAGCAGTGGGCGGATCGGAAGGACGAACTATATATATATATGTATATATAACATTTAAAGTAGCATATTTAAATATGCAGTTTTTTTTTTGTTTGTTTGTTTTTTTTATAAAACATATTTATGGTTTTTTCAGTATTTTATTTCATTTCAAGTGACAAAAATGTTTTTTTTTTTTTTTTTAGTTAAGGTTTTAGTTAACTATAATAGCCCTGGTTCATATGTAGTTGAAATATGCCTTTTAATATCCTCTTCGTTTTGTTCCCAGTGTCCGGACAGTGAAGAAAACTGGAAGAGTCACAAAACTGGTTTGGGTTACTAAACATTGCCTGCTTCCAGTAAACAGGAAGGATTACTGCTGTCAGGCTCAGTACGTCTGTACAAACCACACGCTTTTGATGCATTTATTCAAACTTTTACACGAATGACTTACACAAATGTTTTATTCATGATGCTAAATCTGTCGTGCCCAAATCCTCCGGGTTCATTTGAAATTCATTACACAAGTTGGTCCAGTCACTGACATACATGAAATCCCCCAGCATGCAACCTTTCTGCTCATTAAAACCTTGAAATGAGTTCAGATCTTCTCAAAAGGGATCTATTGACTTCCTTCAGTGAGCGACATCCTGCCAGAAGACAACATACAGAAAAACAATATCAAACACACTGGTTAATCTGCATTTATGTAACTTTTTTTAAGTAGTATTTTTAAATATTGTATATAGTATTTTATGTAGTTCAGTACTGTTTCTACTTATTATTGTAATTATTTTTTGAATTACAAATTCTGTTTTACTTTAAATCAGTTCAGATCATTTATATAATTATTTTATTTTATTCTGATCACCCATGCATATACTAATGCTCAAACCAAACTACCGGAATTTATGTAACCTTTTTATATATATTATTTTAAAATATTTTTTAATACTGTTTCTACTTTTTTTGTTGTTATGAAAAATATTTATTTTATTTTATTTATTTATTTTTGATCACACATGTACATAGTAATGCTTAAACCGAGCTACCTGTAAGTGCCAATGCAAGGTGAAGTTCCTCGCACAGTAACTGGAGAACATTACTGACTCCTTTGTCACCCTACAGACAGAAAGTTTGATGTCCGGTAAGACATTAAGAACTAACATGCATGTCCAGTAATTCAATATTTACTGTGTTTTACCTCGCAGGCGAGTGCCCACAGGACGGGTCTCCCTACAAACACAGCCTTTGCTCCCAGAGCCAGAGCCTTCAGCACATCTGTGCCCTTACGGACCCCTCCGTCCATGAAGACTTCCACCTTTCCTTCTACAGCCTCTACGATCTCAGGCAGAGCATCAATCTGCACCGACATACTCCATCACATTACTGTATGTTATTGCTTAAAGGCTTTCATTCTCAGTTATACTCTCATTTCTTCAACAGACACTTACGGTGGCGGGAACTCCATCAAGCTGTCTTGCTCCGTGGTTTGACACAAGTATTCCATCCACCCCATACTTCAGAGCTTCTTTGGCATCTTCAGCTATAATGGCAAGATTCACCATGAGCAGAACATTAATTACTGCGGTTCTTCTGAAGCAGTTTTGCCTTTTCTCATTCTACAATTTGGAGCCAAAATCTTTTGCATGGAGGAAATTATGTTACATTGCAATTATGGTGTGCAGTACTGTCTTTATCTGTATTTAAAGGACTAGTTCACCCAAGGATTAAAATTGGCTTAAAATGTGCTCACCCTCAGGCCATCCAAGATTAGGATGAGTTTGTTTCTTCATCAGATTTGGAGAAATGTAGCATTGTATCAGTGTCTCAGCAATGGATGCTCTGCAGTGAATGGGTGCCGTCAGAATGAGAGTCCAAACAGCTGATAAAAACATCACAATAATCCACACCACTCCCGTCCATCAGTTAATGTCTTGTGAAGATAAAAGCTGCGTGTTTGTAAGAAACAAATCCATCAAGAAGTTTCTAACTTCAAACTGTTGCTTCCAGCTAAAATCTGAGTCCATAATCCATAATAACACTTCCTCCCGTGAAAAAGTCCATCTCCTGTTGTCTCTCACATCAAAATCCAGCCACATATTTGTTTAGAGCTGTTTTGGCTTGTAAACGGTGCTTGATTTGTGCAGATTTCTCTCCTGATTCAGACCAGATGACTTTTCCACTGGAGGAAGAGTTATTATGGATTATGAAGCAACTGTTTGAAGTTAAAAAAGTCTTAATGCTGGATTTGTTTCAGCTTTTGTCTTCTCCAGATTGTGGATTATTGTGATGTTTTCATCAGCTGTTTGGACTCTCATTCTGACGGCACCCATTCACTGCAGAGCATCCACTGCTGAGCAAGTGATGCAATGCTACATTTCTCCAAACCTGATGAAGACACAAACTCATCTACATCTGGGATGGACTGAGGGTGAGTAAATTGTAAGCAGATTTTCAATTTTGGATGAACTATTCCTTTGTTGCAAGCATTTCTGCTACTATTGCATTTAAAAGACTTGCTCATTAAAAGAATCACAATGCCGACATTTGCACAGGAAAGCAGCTTCAGAAAATGTGAAAAATGAGCTTTACATAGTGTAATTTAATTTCTTCAAGTTTGTTCTGTTCGGAAAAATCCCTAAAATGATTAAATAGTGTTTCCCTTTCAGCCGAGGCCAACAGGAAAGGATGCACTTTTCAAGGAAAATTATGTTCCACACATGAGCTAAAATAACTAATGGCGTTCCCCAATTACTTTTTCCCCCCTCAACATATATTTCTGAGTTTGTCAGGGAACATATTTAAATCATTTGGTCTGTGCTGAAATAAAAAGACTTTGTGTGTGTGTGTGTGTGTGTGTTCGCTCTTTTATTTACAGAATGTGCTATTTCCAGAGCCAAAGAGAAGATAAAAGTTTATCTGAAGACACAATAACAGCAGTAAAGCTTCTAGACGTTTCTGAGATAACCTCAGCGCTCACAGTATGACTGCTTTTTCCTCCCGGGAGATAAATGACACATTATCTTTAATTAGCGGCCCCTCGCTGACAGACGGGGTCGACCGGCCGCTTTGTTTTGATTAGATTATGCAAATAGGTCGTTCTGTACCAGTGACGGTGAGCATTCCACACTCTTAAAAATAAAGGTTCCAGTTAGAACCAAAAAGTTAAAACTTTTATTCTGAAGTTCTTTTTCAGAATGAACATCTGTACTGTTGCATTAAATAATCCATAAATTAATAAACTGACTTTACAAACGCAACATCAAGAATGATTTTAATCTCCATACAGCCTTTATTTTAAGGGTGCAGGCAAGAGAAGACATTACATGTCTTTATTTCATGTCTATTGAATTTCATGTCATACATGACTTTATTTCATGTCTATTGGCTTTGAGGTCAGCTAGTGTACTAGTGTAGGTCTTCACATTTTAAATATATAATGTTTACATGACATGCATTTATCTGGCCCCTTTTTACAGACAGAACAAATTTATCCTTCAATGGCCAAGAAGCTATCCCACAGTCCTGTGCGTGCAGTTTGGCGGTTGGTGGAAAGAATAGAAATGGTGTCTGATGGAGTGGTTTAAATGTGTACATTTATTCATACACATCTCTTAATTCAACTTATTTTTTATTTAGCTTTATTTTATTTTATATTTTAGTTTTATTTAGTTATTTACTGAGTTTATTTAGTTATAGTTTTATTTATATTATATAATTTATATTTGTTCTTATTTTATTATATTTTATGTTTTTGTATATTTGTTTATATTTGTATTTTATTCATATTATATTTGATCATATTTACTTTATTAGTGACCGTGGGTTTTGGAAAGGAGCTATAAAATTATTATTATTATTATTATTATTATTATTATTATTAAATTGTATTACTTTGTTATATATATACTTTGTTATTTGTCTATTTTTGTCCCCCTCTTTATCTAACGTTATAAAGTGACCTTGAGTTTTGGAAAGACGCTATAAAAATAAAACTTAGTAGTAGTAGTAGTAGTAGTAGTATCTTTTATATTTTATTTAATTTTATTTAAAAATAAACATTGCCACTAAATCTTTGTTTGACTGTCTCTAAACCTCACTTTAATTTGTTTTAGATCTTTACACATGATGTCATGATGCATTGGAAGTCTGTCTGAATCCAGTTTTCTGCCTGTAAAGTCTGGACAGCTTTCAGATACAATCACAGATGATGTACGTGCAGTATTTTTTTTTATTTTTTATTTTTTCACTAAATCTTTGTTTGGTTATTCCTGTTGTTATGCCGCATTTGAATCCTGTCTGAATTCAGTTTTCTGCCTGTGAATCACCGCTTTCGGACACAAGCACACATGACATGCCAGCTCCTCCAATCACCAAACACGACAGGATGGCTCACCTGTCAAAACCCCTTTGACCACCACAGGCAGCGAGGTCATTCTCTTCAGCCAGGCGATGTCGTCCCACTTCACCGTGGCATCTATGGCCTGAGTTACGTACACCGACAGGCCGCTGTCCTCCCCGTAACCTTCTTTTGAGGAGAACGCTAAATCAGGGGTCTCGAAATTGGCCATCCTGGGGGGAAAAAAACCCAGAGTGCAAAATGGAATTAGTCCTGTGAGTGTTGTTTTTGGTCAGTGTATGAAAACTGAGCCGGGGTTTTATCCAAACACCAGAGCTCACGCTCAATGGCACCTTGTTGCCGCTGCTGCGCTTTGATTTGTGGGGCCGAGCGAAAGTCTCCGGGAGGGTTGAGATGAAGTTCATGTTGTGTCACTGCTGATGGATACTGAGGCAGTTGTGCTGAAATGTACGGTGAGGCCGTGATGCTTTTTTGGATTTCTAATTGCCATAATTCACCTCGTGGGATCCAGAGCAGGAAGGCTTTACTTTCATGAGGGCATTTTTATAGTGGGCTGCTGCTGGCGTATCTGTAGAACTGCTGATATCTGAATGTTTCCCCACATAAAAAACCATAATATAGCGAGTGTTGACGGAGCTAAAGCGGAGAGTATTAATCCCCATGAGCGGAGTGATCTACTGTACACTTCCCCGGTTCGAGAGAGAGATTTCTGTTTCCATAAATACATAAAGCTCTTCAGTGAGCGCTTTGGTTTTCAAGGGACGACAAACGTGTAAAATAATCTGTCCATGAGGGTGAGAAAACTGAGGTTTTGTTTATGAAGAAACCTCAGAAGAATTGTAAAAGGAGTTGATATGATCGAATTTTCTTTATAGTTCTTGTGAGGTTTTTTTTTTTTAAGTGCATTAAATCAAAACTATTTGTCAAAACATCTGTTTGACTAGAAAGGTGTAAATGAAGATGCTACTTTATTGTAGATATTGCAATTATTTACACCTTTATAGTAATAAAAGTAAGAATTAAAGCATCTAGAGTCTGTTAGCGCATAATGTGTTTGCTACAGTGTTGGGATGCAGTTGCCAGGGTGCTCTGAGTGGTTGCCAGGGAGTTGGTATGCAGATTCTAAGATGTGTAAAGTTGCAGATCTGACAATATAATTTCTAAATGCATGACAGGACATTGCTATGTAGTTGCTAGGTAGTTGAGTGGTTGCCAGGGTGTTGCTATGTGGTTTCTAAGCATTCTGAGTTGCTGTTAGAATGTTATGTGGTTGCTAAGGTGTTGCTATGCAGTTTCCAGGGTGCTCTGAGTGGTTGCCAGGGCTTTTATATGCAGTTGCTAAGGTGATTAAAGTTGCAGATCTGACAATACAATTTCTAAATGAATGCCAGGGCATTGTTATGCAGTTGCTAGGTAGTTAAGTGGTTGCCAGGGTGTTGCTATGTGGTTTCTAAATGTTCTGAGTTGCTGTTAGAACATTATGTGGTTGCTAAGTTCTAAGTGGTTGCCAGGGTGTTGCTATGTGGTTTCTAAGCATTCTGAGTTGCTGTTAGAACGTTATGTGGTTGCTAAGGTGTTGCTATGCAGTTTCCAGGGTGCTCTGAGGAGTTGCCAGGGCTTTGATATGCAGTTGCTAAGGTGATTATAGTTGCAGATCTGACTATATAATTTCTAAATGCATGCCAGGGCATTGTTATGCAGTTGCTAGGGAGTTTTAAGCAGTTGTCAGGGTGTTGCTATGTGGTTTCTAAACATTCTGAGTCGCCGTTAGAACGTTTTGTGGTTGCTTAGGTGTTTCTATGCAGTTGCCAGGGTGCTCTGAGTGGTCGCCAGAGCTTTGAAGTAAAAGTTGTAGATCTGAGTGACAATATAATTTTTAAATGCATGACAGGGCATTGCTTTGCAGTTGCCAGGGAGTTCTAAATGGCTGCTAGGGTGTTAATATTTGGTTTCCAAGCATTGTGGGTCACTGGATTATGTGGTTGCAAAGGAGTCGCTTTGGGAATAAATTGTAGCAATGTGTCCTGGCTCTAATATGATGCTGTAAAATTTGCAATGAACTCACCACTTGTTGATTGTTAAAATATACTATCATCTATACATGTTGCCACAGCATGATGCTATGCATCATGTTGCAATGCAGTTACTAGGATGTTTTCAGTGTTTGTTAGAGCATTCCTATGCAGTTGCTAAAGTGTAATGAGTGGATGATAGGGTGTTGCTATGCAGTTGATAAGCTATTCCGGGTGGTTTCCAGTGATATGCAGTTGCTATGGCGCAAAATTGGAATATGTAATTATAGATCTGACCATATAATTATGAATCGTTGGTGCAAAAGTCATAAAAAACCTCCAGAGCGGCAGAAAAGCGACAGTGTGACAACATAATAATACGTCCTGCCTGTCACATGCTGCTGCTGCTGCTGAAGTTGCACTGAAATCACCAATTGTTGATTCAGATCAGATTACTCTATGTATATTCTGATTTCAGATCAGATGAACAATTCACACTGTGTTTGTGAGTTTACAAACGCAACCAGCGATGTCTGTAAAGCATGCTGCTGGCACGCACGCACATCACGTGTGGTTGTCTCAGCGTTTACCTCAAATGAGAGGGCAGCTTAAATCGGTTGCGCACGTCATCACGTCGCCTGCCAAGATAAGGTGTGTCCACTGTGACAAAGATACCCTTATACCCGGCCTTCTCAGCCCTCCTGACCAGAGACTGAGTCAGCGCTCTGTCTTTATAAATGTACAGCTGCATCCAGCGCACGGCCCCCGGTGCGGCCTCCGCTACTTCCTCTATGGTGGAGGTGGCCCATGAGCTCAGCATCATCCCCGTGTGACAGGACAGGCAGGCTGTGGACGGGAAGAGACCAGAGGACAAGTCAGAACAGCAGGGTGATTGTCATAAGGGTGGTGTGGCTTACAAGATACTGAATGGTCTTGGGTTCGAACCTTCAAACAGAGGTAATGTCACCTAAAGTGTGTGGGATCTGCTCTGAGATAATATACCCCTCACAAAGTGCAAAGCCAATACGTTTCTGCCTAAGCTCTGCATAGGTACTAGAATTTTTACTTCAATAAAACTGTGATAATTTTGTATTCACTACTACTGACAGTAGTACAGAAGTATGGAAGCCCATTTCTGCCTCAAAAGAAAAAAAAAACATGTAAAATATGTCATGAAATGTTAAAAAATATGAGATAAAAAAAGTCAAATTACGAAAAAAAAGTATAAATTAATAGATTAAAAAGTCAAAATTATGAGATGAAATATTAAGTATTAATTGTCAAAATGTTGACTAATTATCTCATAATGACTTATGTCATAATTTTGACTTTTTATTTGATGATGGAAGTATGTTATCATTTTGACTTTTTATCTCATAGTTGACTTAGTATGTCATAATTTCATAATAATAATTTCATATAATTTACTTTTTATCTCATTATCAATACTTAATGTCATAATTTCAACTTTTTATCTCATAATTATGAGATACATTAGTCTCAAAATATGACTTAGTATGTCAATTATGACTTATGTAATAATTTCAACTTTTTATTTAATAATTAATGGGAAAAAAATGCCGCGTGTCACGCTCGTTCAGCGGCCTCGTTTCGCTTCGACGGCTTCCAGCCTCACCCTGCTTCATTCTACAACGTTAATAAATCATTAGCTCATCCATGAACATGATTTCTGCCCGAGTCCCGTCAGATTGCATCGGCTGTGGGGATGAAGACAACTCCCATGATTCCACACTCAGTCACCGCGTCATCAAACTACGCCATTATCTCTTTGTTTATTTTGAATATGCGCCCTCTAGCGGTGAAAATTACATATTGCATACAGTATAACTAAGCATAACCTAATATTATACTTTTATCTCAGTTTTATCTCTTTTATCTCATAATTATGACTTAGTGTGTCATAATTTCAACCTCTTATCTCATATTTATGACTTTGTGGTTAATAACTTTGGCTTTTTATGTATTAATTTCAACCATTATCTAATTTTTTAATGACTTTTTATTTCATTTTTATTTATTTTATTTCATAATAATGACTTATTACATCACAATTATGACATGTCATGATTTCTATTGTTATCTCATAATTGAATTAGTATGAGTAATTATGACTATGTATTTTTTTTTCTTATGTGTCAAAAATGGACTTCCATATTACGGCCACACTGAAACTATAGAATATTAGCTCATACTATGGTAACCATGATCAATTTTTGTAAGGGTAATTTGAGTGTGATTGGGAGCAGGATATACTGTAGAATGTCGGAAAGACTAATGGTGCCACCATGTGGTCAGCTATAGTAATTGCAGTCACTGTGAAGCTTGTAGCTCCAGGGTAAGTTGATGGTGTCTGACCTCTCGCAGTGGCCGTCTCGCCGTCGGGGTGCGCCATTCGCTGCATAGCAGTAGCTGCCACACAGATGGGCATACTGACTCTCTGGCCCAGAACTGTGGTGGACATGTCCACTGTGGACACGTCTCTGAGCACACGAGGGTAAATGCACCACCTGCAGGTCACAGCAGAGTCACAATTCATATTTCAGAAATAACAACTTCATATAATAAATAAATATAGATACAACCGGGGCTAGTTGTCAGTTTTTATTTTAATTTTTTGTTGTTAAAGAGAATGGGTGGGTTTATTTATGAATTGATTATAGTCTTTTTTTAGACACAAACCTTAAAGTCTTGACTAAAAGAGACCTTAACTACAGTGGGGCATGTTGTCCCATTATAGTGGGTATGAAAACCTGTTGATACATGAAACACAGTCTAAAGTTTAATGTTATATCTCTTAAAAACTTCTAAAAAATCCTAAAAAAATTAAATGATGGATATTTTGATAGTCTTGGCTCATTCATTTTGCAAAGTTTGGTTTCTATACTAAAAAAAAAATCTGCACTTGTATTAAAGGTGGTTTAAAGCATTTTCAGCTAAATATATTCAATAAAATAATTAAGAAACAATTGCAGCAAGCTACTTTTTGTGGAAACCGTGTTTCTAAATAGATTAAATGTTTCCGTTTGTTTTTTCCTGCATGAGTTGTGTAGGCGTATGACTTCAGCCCTGACGGTCACTCAATTTTGTGTTAATATTTGTGTTCATTTCGTGACTCATCGGATCTGACCGCAGTTCACTTAACTTTCACAACGCGTGTCTGTAACCTGGAAGGACGTCTTGTTTGCACATTTTATAAATATACATATATGACTAATATATATGTATGACTAATACAGTGGCAATATTCATCTGGACAGTGCCTCTGCTGACACTGCTGTAAGGCCGTGTTTAGGTCTCTAGGGTCCGTCTGCCCACCCACACGGATGCTCCAGGCCAAGGTAAATGCACATAATTATAACTGGGTGTAACTGACCCCACACAACCCAGAGAGACTGTCTAAAATTAGGTCAAAACATTTAGAAGAAGTGTAATTCCTGTCAACATTGTGATAGGCTGACTCAGTTCTGTTATTACCTGTTTGGTAAATTTGAACATTGTTTAATTTCTCTCACATATTTATTTATATATAGTTTATATATAGTGACTCTAAATAGGATTTATAAATAATTATAAATCAGGAGATCATATTTCAAGAAAAGGTGTTCTTCTCAATTTGATAAAGAAATGTCAATAAACAGCAGGTTTTCATTGTGAGTACATTTCCCCATATTGTGTGACAACATGCCCCATTGAATGTATTCATTAACAGTCAGTGTGTGTGTGTGTGTGTGTGTGTGTGTGTGTGTGTAATAACAGTAACAGTAAGTAATTTCTGCCACATATGAAAAAAAAACAATCTTTGGAAAAATCCTAATTATGAGATTAAAAATATAACATGATATATATTTTTTTAAAGTGTCATAATTTTTTACTTTTTGTCACAGTTATGACTTAGTATGTCATAATTTTGGCTTTATACATCATACAGTAGTTTCAACTTTCGTAGTAGTTTAAATAATCATAATTATGACTTAGTATGTCAATTTAAACGTTTTTGTCATAATTTTGTCTTCATGTCTTAATGTCAACTTTTGTCAAATTTTTTATCTCTTTTTCATAGTTATGACTGAGCATGCCATAATTTTAACTTTTTATCTCACAATTATGACTGCCATTATTTTGTCATAACTGTATGACTTTTGTCATAAGTTTAACTTTTTGTAATAATTGACTTTTTATGTCATAATTTTGACTTTAATGTCATTTTGATCATTTATCTCATAATTATGACTTAGTATTTCATAATTTTGACATGTTATGTCAATTTCAACCTTGATCTCATTCTTATCTCTATTATTTCATATACAGTGGGGCAAAAAAGTATTTAGCCACCAATTGTGCAAGTTCTCCCACTTAAAAAGATGAGAGAGGCCTGTAATTTTCATCATAGGTATACCTCAACTAAGAGAGACAAAATGAGAAAAAAAAATCCAGAAAAGAACTTGCACAATTGGTGGCTGACTAAATACTTTTTTTCCCCACTGTATATGACTTAGTATGTCATAATTTAGACTTTTTATGTCATAATTTCAACCACGTCCTCATTTCTATCTCTTTTATCTCATAATTATTACTTAGTATGTCATGATTTAGATCTCTATTTTTAATTCTTTTTATAAATTCGGCTTGAATTAAACCCTGCGAAATCTTGACTGTGACAACTAGCCCCAGTCTCCCCTGTAAGATTTATTTGTTGCTATCAGATAATAGTTGGTTCTTTTGCTCACGCATTTGTACTGTCATTATTTTTTTCACTTAGCAGACACTTTCTTTTCCTGATCAGCTGAGAATATGTTTGTCTTACGCCTGGACAAACATGCGCTTACGTGTTCAACGGAATCAGATCATCTGGGCTTTGAACCTTCAACTCTTGGGTTATTGGGTTACAAGGCCAGATCTTTAACTACGGTAAGACACACCACCAATTTTACATCATAGACTTCTTGATATATATATATATGTGTATATATATATATATATATATATATAATGGTTTTTGAAATAGACTTTATTTTTGCAATGCAAAAATATAATTTCTTCTTTTTTTAAATTTGATTTTGAGGTAAAATACACTAACATTTGGTATAGGATTGACAATTTTAACTCAAAAAGTGCTAGTAAATTTCACAAATAATTACAAAAAGCTGAAAATACACATTGCTTTAAATGTGAAATTTTGAAACAGAAAGACTCCATAATCTTCCATAAACTTCAAAAAATAATTTTGTACAGTGTACAACCCGACATGTTTTTGTAAAGATTCACACTTACAGTATATGCCTTTCTTCATGTCTTCTCTGTAATAAAAGCTTGTCAAAACAAATGGCGTTTATATGATGATGAACGGTCACATACCTGCCAAACGCTGCTACATTATCACGCAGCGTTTGCTGCTCGTCTGCTCCTGAGAAATAATAATCAAACACTGACTTTGGTAAAAGTCTTTGAGCTTGATGCTCATAATCACTGACACACACCAGCGAGTCTGACATGTTTCCACTGATGAGACTCAGAGCTCTTCAGCCAGCTGGATTTCACCAGGATCAGAGAGCCACTGATAAATTATTAACTTTCTCAAGTTAACTTTCTGCAGTCTTTCAACTAATGTTTATCCAGCATCGGTCCCTTTGCCCCGTCACAGCTATAGGGGCTTCTGTCATAAATATGTGAACAACCAACACAGAGCTGAGTAAAAATCAATACTGTCTGTACATAATTAAAATTACTCATTATAGAAGGAATTGGCAATTGCATATGACAGGAACAATGTGTACTTGGGTCAAAAGTGAAAAAATAAGTTACATTTTGCATAAAGAAAATTATTAATTTATAATATTATTGTGACATTATTTTCTTGAAAATAAAGCCCATTTTGACCCCAAATTCTGCATCGGGATGTTTTACTTTTGAATTTGTTTGTATTTATTGTTTGTATTAATTATTCTCAAAGGCAATTATCATGCATCCAAATGTTTGTTTGTAAAAAAAAAAGAAAAAAAAAAGAAGCAATTACTACCATGATGCAAATCTTGATGTGATTAATTTGAATAATTATTACTTTATAATATAATATAATATAATTATTATTATTGTTAATAATAAATATTTTAAATATTTTTATTAATGTATTTTATTCTATTAATTTAATTCATTAGGGTTAGGATTAAATGTTTTACAGGAAATTAATAATTGCATATGACAGTAAAAGGAACAATTATGTGCTAATTATAATTAAGTAAAAAGAGAAAAACGTCTCCAGGTTACGCATGTAACCATGGTTCCCCGAAGGGAATAAGACGCTGCGTCGAAACGCTAGGGGAATGCCTTCAGCATGACCACGCTCTGAATCCCATGTGTAATCAGTCCAATGGATGGGCGAGACATCATGGGCGGGGTGACGTAATGACCAGGAAGCTTAAAAGCACGTGCGGTGGAACCGGCATCAGCTTCTAGGAGTGAAGCAAGCACACACAGGGATGCCGGAAGTATGTCACTATGGCTCCCTGAAGGGAGGAAGACAGAAGGCCTGTAGCACGATAGGCTGTGGTGTAACAGAGGGAACCTTAGGGACATACCCCACCTGAGGGTAGAGAAATACTTTGGCCATGCCGGGCACAAAGTCAAGATAAGAAGGGGCCACTGAGAGGGCTTGTAGATCCCCAACTCTCTTTAGAGAAGTAATCGCCAGAAGGAAGGCAGTCTTAATTGTCAGAAGGCAATCAGATATCTCCTCAATGGGCTCGAAGGGAGCCTTACAGAGAGCCTCTAACACCACAGCCAAATCCCACTGAGGGACACGGGATCGTACTGGGGGCCTCAGCCTCAGGGCACCGTGGAGGAAACGTGTAACTAGGACGTGTTTTTCCACTGACTGGCCACCAAGAGGGACATGGTAGGCCGCAATGGCCGCCACGTAGACCTTTAGGGTGGAGTGGGTCAACTCTGCAGAGAAACGGGCCTGCAGGAACTCCAGAACTGTACCAACCAGGCAGTTGACTGGGTCGAGCTGGCGGTCTCCGCACCATGAAGTGAAAAGCTTCCACTTCATGGCATACAGTTTCCTCGTAGAGGGAGCTCTGGATTGGAGGATGGTCTCAACAACCTCGGTTGAGAGACCGGAAGCTATGAGCTGTGCCCCCTCAGGGGCCACACCCACAACTTCCACAACTTCCACAGCTCTGGGCGAGGGTGAAATATCGTGCCACCCGCCTGTGAGAGGAGATCCCTCCTGACGGGAATCTCCCATGGAGAGCTGTCAAGGAGAGAAATCAGGTCCAAGAACCATACTCGGCCCGGCCAGAATGGGGTTACTAGCAACAGATGGACCCCGTCCCGGCGCACTCTCTCCAGAACTCCCGGGAGCAGAGCGATCGGGGGAAAAGCATACAGATGAAGCCTCGGCCAAGTCTGTACCATGGCATCCAGTCCCAGAGGAGCTGGTTGAGTCAGAGAGAACCAGAGGGGACATTGCGATGTCTCCTGAGTCACAAAGAGGTCTACTTGAGCCTGGCCAAAAACTCTCCATATCTGCTTCACCACCTCGGGGTGAATCATCCATTCCCCGAACCTCGGCCCCTGCCTCGACAGGATGTCTGCTCCCATATTGAGATACCCAGAAATATGCACTGCTCTCAGCGAGAGGAGTTTGCCCTGGGACCACACAAGGATCTGGTGTGCCAGCTTCTACAAGGGGCACGAACGCAGACCTCCCTGATGGTTGATATAAGAGACCACTGCTGTGTTGTCGGTGCGCACCAACATATGGCGATCTCTTAGGTCTGGGAGAAAGTGTTTCAGTGCTAAAAACACGGCCAGCATCTCCAGGCAGTTGATGTGCCACGTCAGATGGCGACCACTCCACAGACCGTGGGCAGGGTGGCCACTCATGACCGCTCCCCAACCGGTGAGGGACGCGTCCATCGCTAGTGTTACACGGCGACAAGGAGCTCCCAGCACCGGGCCCTGAGCCAAGAACCAAGGTTTCTTCCACATGTCTAAGGCACGAATGCATCGCCGCGTGACCTTGATCATGCAAAGCGTCAACTCAATGAGACAAACGTGCCTGCATCGTGGTCGAATCCCACACCACGCCCAGATAAATGGCGCTCTGTAATGGAGAAATGGAGAGTTTCTTGGCGTTCAGTCTCAACCCCAACTTTATCATGTGAGTGAGAACGACATCTCAATGTCGACCCGCCATATGCTCTGATAGAGTTAAAATCAACCAATCGTCAATATAATTCAGTATGCGGATGCCCTGGAGTTGCAGAGGAGCCAGGGCAGCATCCACACACTTCGTAAAAGTGCGGGGTGAGAGTGCAAGTCTGAAGGGAAGAACTCGATATTGGTATGCTTCGCCCCCAAAAGCAAACCTCAGGAACTTCCTGTGTTGGGGAAGGATGGAGACATGGAAGAACCAGGGCAGCACTTCGTAAAAGTGCGGGGTGAGAGTGCAAGTCTGAAGGGAAGAACTCGATATTGGTATGCTTCGCCCCCTCGCCCCCACCTCAGGAACTTCCTGTGTTGGGGAAGGATGGAGACATGGAAGAATGCGTCTTTTAGATCTATCGTGACAGACCAGTCCTCGGACCTGATCTGAGACACGACCTGTTTGATAGTGAGCATCTTGAACTTCAGTCACATGACTGAGCGGTTTAACTGACACAGATCTAAAATGGGACGCAATCCTAAATCCTTCTTCAGAACTATGAAGTACCGGCTGTAAAACCCGGACTCTCTCTCGTGAGGAGGGACCACCTTCTTGTTCCATTACCAGAGCCTGCTCGGGGTCGACCAGAATAGGAATGACCCCCCTGAAACACGGCGGTGGAGAGCCAAACTGAATACGATAGGACCCACAATGTAGGACCCACTGAGACACATTTGGCAGTAGTTTCCACGCTGCTAAATAGTCCACTAAGGGAATCAGTCTCTCAAGACTGATCTCTGGTGTAATTGGAGCTGCTATATCGGTGCCCTGAAGCGGCACACCGGCAGGAGACGGCCGATTTAGCAGCTCTAGAGACCTCCGAAGAGGTGGCGAGCTTCTCAGCTCTGCTACGTTTCCGGGCAGAAGGGACTGAGAGCAGCGCTCGCTGGAGACCCCGCCCAGCAGCCCCCAGAGTAAGAGAGCGGCGAGGGAGGAACCGCTGCTTGTTTACGGGCCTCCTGGTACCTGTCGACGACCGAGTTAATGGTGTCGCCGAACAGGTCAGAAGGCGCAAGCGGGGCGTCCATTAGGCAGACCCTGTCTTTCTCTCTCATGTCAGACAGGGTCAGCCACAAATGCCTCTCCGCTGCCACAAGTGCTGCCATGGACCGCCCGATGGCGCGGAGGGAGAGATCAGCGGTTCGCCTTAACTCTGAAATGTCGTCAGATTTAACCTCCTTACGCTCATCTAACTCCTTCAGCAGGTCGGCTTGGTATGCCTGTAACACTACCATAGTGTGCAGACACGCACCAGCCTGACCTGCTGCCGCATACCCCTTGCCCACCAGCGCTGATGTTGTTCGCAGCGGCTTGGAGGGCAATGCTGGAGACTTTGCCATGCCGCACCGGGGGACAGATAGCCCGCGCTCGTTCAACCCCGCCACATTGCTGTAATAGTCAGAGGCGGGAATGAAGAGGCGGACCGAGAAGGGCCTGGCCCACGATCTCGATACCTCAGCGTGGAGATCGGGGAAAAACGATATTCTCCGGCGTGGAGGTGGTGACCTGGCCCGCAGAAAGCATTCATCCAACTTGCTTCTCTGCGGTTCAGCCTGTTTTTCAGCGGGCCAGTCGATGTTTAACTTGGCCACTGCATGAGTGACCACCTCCAAGAGCTCCTCATACTGGGGCAATTGAGGGGGCAAATCCTCCTCGACGCCCACCACGTCAACCACCTCAGAGGAAGACAGGTGGAGTGTCGAGCCCTCTCCCTGTCTGCTCCCATATTGAGATACCCAGAAATATGCACTGCTCTCAGCGAGAGGAGTTTGCCCTGGGACCACACAAGGATCTGGTGTGCCAGCTTCTACAAGGGGCACGAACGCAGACCTCCCTGATGGTTGATATAAGAGACCACTGCTGTGTTGTCGGTGCGCACCAACATATGGCGATCTCTTAGGTCTGGGAGAAAGTGTTTCAGTGCTAAAAACACGGCCAGCATCTCCAGGCAGTTGATGTGCCACGTCAGATGGCGACCACTCCACAGACCGTGGGCAGGGTGGCCACTCATGACCGCTCCCCAACCGGTGAGGGACGCGTCCATCGCTAGTGTTACACGGCGACAAGGAGCTCCCAGCACCGGGCCCTGAGCCAAGAACCAAGGTTTCTTCCACATGTCTAAGGCACGAATGCATCGCCGCGTGACCTTGATCATGCAAAGCGGGTTTCCCCTCTGGGAGAACCCCTTGGTCTTGAGCCACCACTGTAGGGGTCTCATGTACAGCAGGCCAAGAGGTATCACGTTGGACGCAGCTGCCATCAGACCCAGCAGTCTCTGAAACTGCTTGACAGTGAGTGACAGGCCTTCTTTCACTCTCTTGACTGCCGT